TTCAGATGTTTTAGTTCTGTCTTCCACTAGTTTCCTCCTCATATTAAGAGGTAAAAATAAAAAGGTATCATCACCACTACCTGGTTAACAGGTAGGAAACAAAAATTCATAGAATCACTGGAAGGGATCTTGAGAGATCATCAAGTCTAGTCTCCTGCACTCACAGCACTATCTAGATCAGAGGTGGACAACCCATTGAAGAAAGAGAGCTGAAACAGCGGTGGAAAAAATGCAAAGAGCCTCAGCACAATTGTAAAGCAAAAAAAAAAAAAAAAAAGGAGGCTGCCCCTTTAAGAGACAAACAGGCGCCATATTGGGCACCATTTTGAATCGCCTCCCCAGTGAGCACAGGAGAACCAGGGGCGGGAGGAGCAGGGGCAATGGCGGGGGGTGCAGGAGAAGCTTCACAAGTCACACTTTTGGGGGAGAAGAGCTTCATGTGGCTCGTGAGCTGTGGGTTGGCCACCCCTGGTCTAGATCATTCCTGACAGATGTTTATTTAACCTGCTCTTAAATATCTGGAATTATGGAAATTCCACAACCGCCCTAGGCAATTTATTCGGGCAAGGAGTTCCACAGGTTGACTGTGCAACTCTGCAACTCTGCATGACCGTGCATGAATAAAAACTTCTTTTTAGTTGCTTTAAACCGACTACCTATTATTTTCAATTTGTGATCCCTAGTTCTTATGTTATGGAAACAAGGAAATCACTTTTCCATACTCATTTTCTCCATGCATGTCATGATTTTACAGACCTCTATTATATCCCTTAGGATAAGCTATTTCCCGAGGAGGGTAGGGAAGCACTGGGATGGGCTCCTTAGGGAAGGGGTGGAAACTCCATCCCTAGAGGTGTCTAAGTCCTGGCTTGACAAAGCCCTGGCTGGCATAGTTTAGTTGGGATTGGTCCTGCTTTGGGCAGGGGGCTGGACTCGATGGCTCCTGAGGTCTCTGCCTGCCCTGGGAAAGGCCAGACGTGTCCACAGATTCCTCCCAGCCTTTTGTTTGAATTGGCGTTCCCCTTCAGGTCGTCTTCCCTTTGCTCTTGCCTCCCCAGGTTTCGCATGGAGCGTGGCGAAGCTCTTGTGGAAAATGGCAGTCTGCCTCTGCACCTGGACGTGGGGCAGCACCCACAACTTTCTGTACCAAAGCGGTGAGCAGCCTCCTTTGGACTGGCCCTTTCCACGTGAGGCCCTACCCCCGTGGCACCATCACTGTGGCCAACAGAAGGTGGAGTGCGGGGGAAGTGCTCTAGGGAAGGCGAGGGGGAGGAGTAGCATTCTTGTAGCCCCGAAAGCTCTGTGAAGATAAGGTCATGAAACTTCTCAAATTCTCTCTCTCATAACCTACCTATTGCCCCATTTCTGTTGCCGTATGACCCGAGTGCCTGTTGACAGCTATGAACAGCCGGCAAGGCCGAGAAATGTTTTTCTTTCCATGTAACTGAAGGTGAGCTGAGGTGCCAAACCACAAAACAATCGTGTCTAGGTCACAGAGCAAGCGTGGTGAGGGCTACAGCAGGGATCACAGCTGTCTGAATGTTCCTGCGCTCCAGAGAGAGAAGAGAAGGGTGGTAAAAAAGGAATTTCTGCTTTTGGTGCCAACGAAATTTTCTGAATACAGGCAGTCCCCGGGTTACATGGATCCGACTTACATCGAATACCTACTTAAAAACGGGGTGAGGCAACCCCGCACTAGCTGCTTCCCCCCAGCAGACCAGGGAGACGCGAAGCTAGCGCCCCCCCCCAGCAGACCAGGGAGACGCGCAG